CGTCCAGATTTGCTGGTATTTTTCGGGCTGGAACTTCTAATTCTGGAAGTCTTGCTTTTACTTTTACTTTTGAGACTTGGTTTGCTAGTTACTTTTATGGACGATTTGGATAAACTGATTTTACTTGATCTCTCCAAACCGGAACGTGTCTTTTTTCTGTTTGTCAATGATCTATGTGCAACATATACACTGCTTATTATTATAATTAATAACACCATTCCGGCAATTATCCAATAAAAATCTTCAAAACAAACAACAAATTAATTGATTACAACAACAAAAATGTCACAATCGATCCGATACTTACATGATTTGAAAATTAACTTTTTGGGCGGAATAATGCCAGCACATTTGTAGAAATCTTCATTGGCAACTATCGTCCTTTTAATTTTTTTTCCTTTTTGAGTAAAAACATTTTCACTAAATATATAGTTATCAGGAAACCCGATTAAAACAAATATTCCATCACTCACGAAACCGCTTGCTAATGGCCATTCTACTGTATTTTTACTGTCACACTTTGTCCCTTCTACCATGAAAATATAGCTATCGTCATGATCAAAACAAAGCAATCTAAAATCTGTCACTTTCTCTATTCCATTCGAGTTGATTATGCGATCACCATTTTTACATTTGTAAGCAGTAAGCCAAAGAGCCGTTCCGGAACCAGTAATTGTATTTTCCTTATCTTCTCTTTTTTGTAAAGAATAGCATTTGCATGGTTCTTGGGTTGCTATCAATATTTCTGGCCCTTCTCCACTTAAAGCAAATCCTTTATATATTTTTGATGTATCGACATTATAATTGATTGCCTGTTTACTGTCATTAGTAGTCATACAAATCCAATCACCATCACTATCATACATGATCCATATATTCATATTATTTTTGATTTTTTTAAAAATTGGATTATGATAAAGAACCGGATATTTATCCTTCATTGGTGTTGACAAATATTTAAAATATACTATATTTCTAGTCGGATCAAAGCAATCTGCAGGAACATCATATACATACAAATCTATCGTTATCAATAATACCCGTTTTTTTGTTCTTCCCATTGCCACTGTATATGATAGTATTGTGTTGTTTATTTCTATTGATCCACCATGAATATTATAACAGATTTTCTTGTTTTTTAGTGTTTTCAAGAAACATTTTATGATTAGCAAATCAAATTCATTCATTTTTCCTATTATAAAACAATTCACTACTTACATCTTTTGGCGGTTTATAGTCTTTCAATTTATGAAGTTCATCAGTTGAGGTATCATTATCCACCAGAGTGTGCGATGTAATCATCAAAATCATGAAAATGACATAAATCCATTTCCCATTAGACATTGTTATCAATTNGAACATCATATACATACAAATCTATCGTTATCAGCAATACCCGTTTTTTTGTTCTTCCCATTGCCAATACATACGGTTTGAACAAATCCTTAGGATCTGGACCTGGATCAATAACCCTATTACAGATTTTCTTGTTTTTAAATATTTTCAAGAAACATTTTGTGATTAGCAAATTAAATTCATTCGTTTTTCCTATCACAAAACAATTTAATACTTACATCTTTTGACGGTTGATAGTGTTTCAATTTTTGAAGTTCATCAGTTGTGGTATCATTATCTGTTCGGGTGTGCGATGTAATCACCAAAATCATGAAAATGACATAAATCCATTTCCCATTAGACATTGTTATCAATTATGATTTGTTTAGAGAATTAAGTCAACAATAAGTAAAGAATTAATATTATTAGAAAATTTCCAAATAATAGCCTTTATTTTTGTTTTCTGGAATTATTTTGAAATTATAATTTTTTGAAATCAAATAAAAATCTTTACAGAAGGTTGGTTGGTTCGAATGTTATTTCATAAAAAACAGTACTAAATGGTCATCAAAATTGATTGGCATTAACATTCATGTTGGGTTGTTAAATTGATTAGCAAGTTCCGTTTTACCTGTACTACCTTACTAGCAAAATAAAATGGTTGCCTTTCTTATTTGTGATATAATGGCCTATATAGCCAATATAACACCATTTTAAAGATTGTTAGATTGGTGTTTTACTTCCAAGACAAGGTCATTTTTCAAAGTGGATTTCCCATTAATTAATTACTCTCGATCAGTGGTAAGTTTGGCCACCACTCATGTGATGAAACTTGAGTTGTTTTTCTTCTCAATAATTTGGTGTNCCCCCCAGAACTCCATCCCAACCCACCCAATCACAACTATTCACAGAAGAATACTCCATTGAAATATTTGTACTTTGACTCATCATATATTCAGTCATTATCTGAATATATATAGAATTTTATAAGGACGATTGATTTCGGTTTTTTTCATTCATTCATTCAAATTTGCAAACAGGTTTCCATTATCATTATTATATAATAATGACAGCAGCAGAAATGAAAATTCATTTTTTTTCTGCCATTGAAATTCAACTATGACATAACTTTTTTTTTCATTTAACTTTTACCTGTTTTTTCATTGCCATCCATTACCATTTTATTGCTTTACAATGATGGTTTATGGCAAAATATGAAATGAAATTAGTATTCATGTACAGCAGCACAGTATGGATAACCGTTTATATAAATTCCATTTCAGGTTTATGTTTGTCTTGCTATTTTCATTTTTTGAATATAGTTTTTATTAATCTGTTCGGAAAAATTCTTTTTGGAAATGACACACGTGGCCTAGGACTCGAACCCGCTACCAATTGATTTTTCGTTAATAGGAATTTCCATTAACCACCAAAATCAATATATGCTTGATCCGTTTATGTCCGGCCGATAGGTATCCTATCATCCCATATGTCTCTTTCATGAAGATGATAATATTTTGATCAATTATATCCTTACCTAACCGTCGCTAACCACCATCCGCCAACAACCTTTCACTAACTCTTTTTTATTCTTTGGAACATTGCACTACACACACACACACACACACACACTAATATTCTATATATTCAACAGTTTTTGGGAAAAACCTCACTGCCATCTATGGTCGAAAAAGAAATCTAACCCAAAAAAACACATGTGTTTTTTATGTTATTGTGGAGATATCACCCCCACAGAATTTAATTCATTTTCGTATATTCATTGAAAACAAATCGTAAACATATTGTTTTTCTGAGCTAGTATTCAAAGAATTAATTGTTTGTTGTTGTTGTTGTTTTTTTTCAATCACCAATCAACACACACCAACACTAATAACATGATCAAGTTCATTCAAATCAATACAAATAAATCACCAAAAACATTTTCTACCGTTGCACAATTTTCATTAAACAACAAAATTAATATTGGTTTAATTCAAGAACCTCCATTAAAATATGTTGATAATAAAAAGAATCAAATACCGAAAATTGGAAATAATTTTAAACCATTATTCATGTTGAATAAAAAAAAAGTAAGTAAATCCTAAACATAACCACCGACCTAACCACTACACTACGAAAAATCTTTGGTCAATTTGCAATGCAAGTGAAATGGGACACCACATCCCACTCTCATCATTGTGGATGACACTCCAAACTGATAAATAAATATGGAAAGAGACATGATGATTGGTTGAATGTTATTTTATTTAATAAATATCTTGTCATAAAACAGTATCATCAATTCGATGGTTTTCGATTCATATTCCCAACAATTCATCATTTGAAACATCATTGGAATGTTTGGTGTATAAATCGTATAAAACGTGTGCTCACACCACAAAGTCAAGTTGACAATTGGCAACTTGACTTTTCAACGCAATTCTTTGGCCTTGTTCATCATGATGATCCAAAAACAAAGAATTTTCGAAAACCTTTTGTTAAAAAATTGATAAAACAAAATAATATTTGAAACAAAAAATGTTTATTAAATTTTAACGAATTGACAGTTTAAAAATAAAACAATTTTGAAATATACAATGAATTTAGCTTGAAATCGAATACTGAACATTCGAATTTTACCAAAAAGATATACAACAGGTATCGAAAAAAGAATATAATACCATTATTTTCTTGGACAACGACATCAATTATTTTTTAAAAAAAGATTTTTCAAGCCAGCTCGCTTATTTTTCGTTTATTCTCCCAAGGAGCTCAAGCAGCTTGTCCATCTCGTCGTCGTGAAGTACCTCCTCGAGCTCATCGCTTAAGTACCCGATCGCAAACAATTCACACATTTTGGCGGCAATGATCTGTTAGGGCATGCCGCCAAATAATGGATTCCTGCACAATAAGCACAGGTGTAATATTCCTGTTCACAATCATTGGCCTTGTGTTTGAATCCCTGGCACCTGTAACATTGTAGCACAGGGCAAACATCAACAACATTGATTTGGCCGTAATTGTATTTTATTTTGCCACCCATTTGTTCCAAAATCAAATTTTTGATTTTTGGGTGGACTTTTATTCCAACATTTTTAATTTCGCGAAGACCTTCTCGATGTCGTTAAATTGTTTCCTTCTTCTGATTAATTTTGAAACCAGTTCAGAAAAAATCCATTTTGAAAAGCACGACCAAGGACTCGAACCTGAGACCAATTGATTTAATGTTAATAGCTTGAAGCCGCCCTTAACCAAACCAATTTTAGGTCCGATTTTCGTCGTGTCGAAATCCGTTCAACCGAAACTTCAATTTTCTTAGTGATGCTAATTGTTGATCACTTATCTGCTAAATCATAAATAACCAAATGATGACCAAAAAA